AAGTTGTAGCAACGTTTCGGCAGAATCTCATCTGCCATCATCAGGCTGATGATGGCAGATGAGATTCTGCTGAAATGTTGTTACAACTTTAAAAGCACAACTATAATGACGTGGGAAAATACCTGAACAAAGCTGAATACCATATATCTATATATGTATATATCTATCTATATCTATATAAAATTGCTTATATATAATTGCTTATATATAATTGCTTATATATAATTGCTATAATTATATATTATTATTTCTATTCTATTATTTTTTTTTGGCATCCTGAACTACTATGGCTACAAGGTTTCTTGGAAAACACAAACAGGTCATAATAACAAACAATTTAATATCTGGTAATGTTGAGGCAATTAAACTATGCAAAAATATGCACATACACTAACTGAGATACGCTTTACTAACTGAGAATCCTCAGTGTGATATCTTAGTAGAAAAGATGAAACAGAAAATGTACATATTGAACGTTGTCACAGGAAAAGTCAGGTCCATCTAATATTAGAGCTTTAAACATGCTGATCCACTCTGGCACTGTATAACAGGGAAGGGAATTATACAAAAATGAAAAGTTAGGTTGAAAACCTACTTGAAAGCCCAGATTTAACTGCAAACAATCGCTATTATTCTCTGCTTCATCCCCCCCCCCCATTATACACTCACATTTTGCAAAACATCCTTCCAGAGGAGTAGAAAAGGCCACTCACTTCAAGAGCCCAAAGTAAGCTAGAGCCTGAGAGAGTTTAGACCACTTACAGAAGAAAGGGCTATCAGAAACATTTCACACCATCTTTAATTGTATATGTGAGAGGTGCAAAGAAGAAAATATTGGGAAGAGCTGTGCAAATACTTTGTTTAACATTACCCATTTCTAAGAAACGTTCTGTGAAACCTTGTAATAAAGTATCAATCAATTCCTGAGGATATCAGAACATCATCATGGGTACCAATTCGATTGCTTGCCTCCTTCCTGTTTCATCAGAAACACTGAAACTCAGGAGCCATGTTACCTTTAAAGCTTGGACTTTCTTGGCCAAGAGACTCTCAATGTCTCCTGCCACTTTCTCCACGATTTTTTCAGGGATGTTGTCTCTTACTTCAAATAAATTCTTCTTCTCATCATAGATCTGTTGAAAGAGAAGAACAAAGAAAGAAATTGGAGCACCAACAAATTCAAACCTTCTACAAAATACTTCTGGAAAAGGAAAAAAAAAACCCACTAAGCATAGAATACAGTAAATGTTCAGAATAGGAAATACCATGACCAATCCATAATAAAATTCTTAAGCCAAACAACTGCCTATGGACAGTTTTTTCACTCATATTTTCTTCTCATATGTTCAATATCTTAACATTCCTTGCAGGGACCTTTGCAGTCAGTGTCTTGTGAAAAAAAAGCAACCTACATCTCACAGATTTTATATCTAATTTTAATCATTAGGTAAAATTAATTCATTGCATGATGAAAGACTCTCCTCTGAAATTACCTTCAGTGGCAAATTACCTTCAGTGCACATATGAGAGATAGAAGCTTTCCAATCTCTCATTTTAGGTCTCCCACTCTCTGGGACAAAGTGATTGGCCTACCAAGCCACCTTCGGTGCCTATTGGAAGAAATCATGAGTGTAATCTAGTTCTCTCCCCTCCTCTCTTCATCCAATACCTTAGTCACTATACTCTACATACGGTATTTATATTTATCTATAGCTCAATATCCTCTCCTCATCCAATACCTTAGTCACTAACTCTACATACGGTATTTATATATATCTATAGCTCAATATCTACAGTATACATATACAGTATGTGCATATGTAGTAAGATATTCATATGTTCAAATATCTTGCTCTTGAGTATGTTGAATTGGATGTTTTTAATCTTTTTACTGGTTTTATTGTTCTATTTTTTTAAAAAATTAATCATTATATCTTTTCAGAATTATAAACCACCTAGTCATTGACTGAGATGGGCGCCCATAGTTTTGAAGAAATAGATAAAATGTATAACTGTAGTATTGTACAAGAGAAGGCAGTAAAGGTGGATTTACAACACCCAGACAGACAATTAAGGTCAAAGGTGCAGAGGATGTAAAAAGAAATAGATATAGAAACACAAGGTTTTTCAGTGTTTAAGTGCCTGGCCAGTTATTTAATTTATGTGATTTTTGCTTTTCAGAACATCCTTCTACTTTTACAAGCTGAGCATGCCATGTGGTCAGAAGAAACCTTTGAAATTGAGATTCTCATTTTCTCAGGATATTTATGGAATGCCCCTAGGCCTTAATCAGAAAAGTATTCTGTGAAATCCCACATATGCCCAATCCAGTGGTTGAAACGTAGCACACTGTCCTCATCTCTCCCACTGTGCATATAATTCAATGGATATTGAGACTAGCAGCAGATGGTACATAGCTGAAGGTGGTGGCACAGCCAGCCCAAAACAGACACTGAAACAGACTAATATGATTAAAAGTCTGTAAGGAAAAAAAAGAGGGAAAATATTTAGAGTAAATAAATGGAAACTATGCAACAGGAAGCTGTCTCGATTTTTATAATATCTACAGACCACTGCTATCATAGCACTTGAAGTACTAGTGGCAATAGGACTGTAATTTGCATCAGAAAAACCAATTAGTTCAGCAAGGTAATGGTCTCCACCTACATCCTTATCATGAACTCTTAGAATTAGTTTCTCTTCACTTATGTCTTTGCATATACAAAAATACACACAAATTTACAAAAACTACCTTCTCCAACTTGGTGCATTCTACATGTTGAATCGTACTCCCTGTAATTTCCAATTAGTATTATCCAGCTATTATCAATCCAATTACCCCAGGAAACCCTTTAATTCCAAATCAGTGTAGCCATGAATCAAATTATGGAATTTGTGGTCCAACAGACACAGTGAGTAGCAAGATATAGAAGATGGCAACCAAGAGGACTCCAGTATTGTAAAACAGTCTGAACTCACATATTGCATTATTCCAATAGAATTTGTGATTTACTTGGCATACCATAGGGAAAAGAAACCATGGCACAGAATGGCTTGCAAATCTGGCTGCGGTAAGCAGCAAGACTGAATCCATGCTGAGAACAACCTCAACTCTATTTAATTGGCAATAACATGTAACCTTCTATCTATGCCAAACAAAAATGGATGTGTATGGAAAAAAATCTGGAGGGCATCAGTCTGAGAAACATTGCTATAGATTATCAACACACATCAAAGACACATGACGCCATTCAATGTGCAAATAGTAGTCTGGCTATGGTAGGTAAATATAGATAAAGCAGACAACCCTTACTATTTTTGCACTGTGTATATCTTTCCACAGACTTTGTACAATGCACAAGTAATATTATTGTTTCAAAATAAAGGCAAGCTTTTTGAAGCAGTTTCAGAAATAGATTTTTGAACATTGCAGCCTAAGTAGCTTATGGAAAACAATGTAAATACCCAACACTGAATATTTATCCAATGTTGTTTCTGGCAGTGGGCTTCTTCCATGCTTTTCTAAAAACTGCCTTTGACCTGCTGTGTGAAAAGGCTGTTCCTTCCATGTCTTTCTAAAAACTGCCTTTGACTTGCTGTGTGGAAAGGCTGTTCCTTCGTGATAATATAAGGGCAGCTGGAGGTGAATTGATGTCCCTGAATACCAATCTTAGACTTTCCCCTTGTCAAACAGCAAGCTGTACATGCCAGAGGATGGAAAAATACTATACAAAACCATTTAATATCAGAGAACATGGTATAATGGATTCTTATGGTCTCCCTTCCCTTCTTTTATTTTTCTTTGGGTAACAGCATAACAAAGTAATGTGTTTTGAAGGCACAGCAGCTCCAACTGAGCAGCAGCAATTTGGGAAACAAAAGAAAAAGGAACAACCTTCAAGGACAAAATCATGGATGCAGAGGGCATCCTGACACCAGCATTTTCCTATTATGAAATGCCAAATCTCTTCCCACTGCCTATTGCTGATTTTATCCAGAAAAAAAATAAACCATTGTAGACTATACTGTCTATTTGCCCCATTACGCCCTGATGCTTTCAGTCTTCAGGAGCAATTCTATATATGTTTCTCGAAACATAACTAAGTAAGATGCAGTCTTTTATAGATGAAATGTGTAAAATCTACATTTACCTATTGTAGATTTTCTATACAGGCACCTTTCTGGCCAGGGATTAAGAGAGCTAGCTGGAAATAATGACAACCACTATATGAAAATAAGTATGGTTATCTTTGCAGAACAGATAGATTTTATGTATCAGCTGGATTTATGGATATAAATCCAGAGAAAATGCTTCTGTTGTCAGTAACTGTTTCAATGAGTATGTCACTACTGCTAGTTATCGTGTTGTCTACAAATAAAACTTGAATAAAGATCTAAGCAACATTGTACCCTGAGGCTTTATTTCTTAATAAATATCTATACATAAATAAATGACATGAAATTAATGAGAAGGAAATAGAGACAAGAATTTGTCTGAAGTTAGTGTTTTTAACAAGTAAAGCAGGTAGGGAGCCCCTTCCCCTCCAGGTGTTGCTCAGCTATAACTTTCACAATATCTAATGGCAAAACATGTGGAAAACTGTAATTCAGCAACATGGTTAGAAACACGGCTTGGCCACTCTTAATCTAAAGTTATTTGTGAGTAGTGAGATGGCCGTGTTTGCTGATCAGACCAAATTATGCAAAGTAATAAAAATAAACAGATTGCAAAGTGCTCCAGAAGGGCTTTCTCCAAGCTGGATAAATAGCAACAGCATGAAAATGTTTTAATATAAACACAAAATGGTGCTCATGGAAAAAAAATAACTATATCCATCCGATGACAGTGTATGAGTTACAGATCTTGGGGCCACGATAGGTAAATTGAATGAAAATGTCAACTTGGGGTAGTCAACTGTGAAAAACACAAAAAAGATGATAAAGATAAAAAACGAACTGTCAGTATTATACTTTTTCAGTTATTAATTTCTAAAAGAAGGCTGCAGACACACAGAAATATATCAAAAAGTATATTGTAGAATTGGAAAAATTAAAGAACTAATAGGGAATTGAATCAACTTTCCTCAAGATAAGTTACAATAACTGAGCCTTTTTAAGTTTACGGAAAAAAGATTAGTCAGCAGAAGTACATGCTCATAAAATTATGAACTGCATGGAGAAAACAGATAAGGGATTTTTTTTCTTATTCTTTCATATATTAGAGCCTGGAGGTCTACAATAAAGCTGAATATTGGGAAATTCAAGACAACCAAAAGGACATCTATCTTGCACTATTAAACTACGGAATTTGCTACTGCATGTGGTTGTAAGAGGCCCTAACTTAAAAGCAGATCAAACAAATTAATGCATGGTTAAGTCTTCAGTGACAGTTCGCCTTAAACATCTCTAAGATCAAGTATTTCATTGTCAATTGTTGGGTGAACAGAGCAGGCTGTTGAACTGAATATGTCATTGTCAAAATCAGTATGGAAGATGAGAAACAAATAGAGTTTTATGGTTTAAAAAACAGGAAAAGAGAAATTAGGGACACTTACAATGTCAAAATTTGGAAAGCCAACATATATAAGTGACAAGAAGTAATAAAGAAGAAGTCTCCCCCAAATCATTTCAAGCAGCTAAAATGAGAATACCATGCAGGGAGTGAAATGCCTACTACTTCCAAATATTTTTACAACTTCTACAGAATTTGAATGTTCTCAGTAGGCTTCTTCTGTTATGCAAAGCTTGTAAAAGCTCAAAGTGCTGTGCATTTCCCAATCATTTCTGAGAAAAGAAACTGTTTTTCTAACTGTTCTGTGAGAACATTTTCAATTTTTATAACTTAAAAAATGGTACAAGAAAAACAGCCACATTTGCAATACTATCTGGAAGCTTATTTCTGAAGGACTTTAAAAAATATACAGCTGATCTTGTTTTCTTACTATGGGAATGAATAAGTTAGTCAGCTCAAATCTATGCATACCTATTCAAAAATGCATTTCATTGGCCTCAATACAATTTAGTATTGTATTAAACACCATTGGACTTTTGACTTAGTGGTTTTCAGGCAACTATCGGAGAGTTTATTGTCAGTTCTGATTGCTTTAATATTATTGCAGATTGAATTATGGTT